GAGTACAAGAGCTAGTCACCGAGATAATGTTAGGGTGGGGTTCTACAGTTGAGCTCTCCGCAATCCGCGACGATCTGACCTGTCAGTTGCCAGGGGGGTCTGACGATCTGACCTGTCAGTTGCCAGGGTGGTGTTTCCTTGACAAAACCGGAGAACAGCTTTTGGGCACGTACAAAGCAATGTCACGTCGTGCATAGTCATCCTCATTCCGCGGCAAAGAACTGGCCAAGGCGGGACTGTTGAGTGAGTGCGAGCCATGTACCTAGACCCACGATTCACTGCCTAGTGAGACAGTCCGTGCCACTTGGGTATGAGAGTTGCCAGCCAGAATTGAATAGAAACAAGTTCAGTCGCAACAAAACCAACAAATTGATTGCATGGCAGAGAAGATAAACTAGAAGCTCTCGAGGAGCTGTCTATCTAGCTACATAGTCAATTCTCAGGGACTGGTTGGGAGACCATCATTTGGTGGCGTTATTAGCATCGGTATCAGCCCGAGTGCACATGTACGGCCCAGCACGTTACACAGAGGCTTGCAGTACTGTGCCTAGCACAATATCGGTTTTAGTTACAGTTGTAGAGTAGTGGGAATATACAGAGCGACGATTACTGGTTGATGATTCTGGTAGCTCACTGTATAATTATGGTGTTTTGTTCTTACCTTTCCCTGCCCAGCTGGGCCAATGCAGACTGGGTAAACGGTGAGGTCAGTTACAGGTGAAACCAAAAATCCAGGGCAAGTAGAAGCTATGGCATTGACAACAACAAGCCTACAACTACCGGAGCCTTCGCGGAGAGAGAAGATGCTTCCTGCCATTATTCGTGCCTCGCCCCAGCTAGTGCGAGTGTGCGAGTTGCACATAAGATGCTCCTGGGGAGCGTAGTGCCCCGGAAGCTGGTAGTGGAGTTTGCGGCGCGACTCAGGTCTCGGCTGAGAACTTGAGACGGGCGGGACGGACCGATGAGCCGTCACCGCTAGTTTCCGAGCCTATTCGACCTAGCTTTTGTCGAAGATCTGGCCGCCAAGCCCAAATCGAGAAAGTACTCGGCGTTCCTAGATTAGAGCAGGCAGGCAAAGCATCCAACCGCGGGCAACACCTTGCAATCGCAATAAACCACCAACTTCCGAGATGCCTTGCCCATGTACCGAGACTGTCCCTTTCCGCACATTGGGAGGTACCAAGAAGTGCAGCTCCTGCACCAGAGTACCTAACAATTTGACATGCTCCGCGCGTTCTGCTCCTTAACGCCCAAGCAGACTCCCGTCTCTTCGATTCAGAGGGTGCACTGTGGACCTTATAGACCTCGTTCAGCGGTTGCAAGTCGTGCTTGAGGGAGTTGGCGCCAAGCCAAACCAAGCGCTGAGAGGAAGTGCCACTCCGGTGGCAAATCTCCTTGGTGATGAGCAAAGAAAAGGCCATTCGCAGCCAAACACACATTCTCCTCATCGAGCGCCAAGTAGTGGTCGGCTGACCACGTCTCGTAAACCAACGCTGCATGTTGATCCCCTTGCTCCAACCGGAGCTGTTGCAGGTCTGACCAGCGTGTCTAGCACGTGCGAATCCGTCGCAAAAGACCCGTAGGATCGAATCTTTTCGACAAATGCTAGCACGTATTGAGAACACTAGCCAAGCCGACGATTCCAATGGCGAGTGCAACAGGTGTTGTGGCGCTTGCTGACACCGTCGTCCTAACTGGCGAGAGATCCACTGGTGTGTCCTGAGACTTCGAAGGAATTTACAGCCCCGCCGCACACTGGTACTAGTAGTGATCCCCCTTTGACCCAAACTCTCGGTGCCCGTCAATGTTTCATGTAATAGCGCCCCCGCCTTCACACAGTGCCGTCCATACAGCTTGGGGTAACCTAACATTACCCAACTCATTGGATTGTCTCTCCTTTGCGGCGTAAACAGTCCTCGCTTGGCACCTGTGCTACGTTTGGGTTGCCACTGTTCGCCCCATGAAATGCTAGCTCTATGGCAACGTGCATTGGTGGCAGCGAGAGCAAAAAAAAAAAAAGGGACAGGAAGAGGTAGCACAGTCGGTGGACTTTCCCTATGACTTTGAGATTTACATCACACGGCTTCCGTGTAATGCAACTGTGAGTCCCGCGAAGAAGCATCCCGATTTGTC